GAGGCCCTCTCACCGCGCCAAACACAAGGGACCAATCTTACGCTCTCAGCACAAACAAAATGGTCACAAGTCCTCCTCTGTTGCTCTCACTTAGCGATTCTCTCACTTCACTGACTTCCCAGCCCTTAGAATAATCATGTGGCCCAGGGCCCTTATGGGCATAAACAGATTGGGGCATCCCGCATGTTTGAGTCCACGCTTATGGAACATGATACCTTGCTTTATTTCCTGCAGAGGGTGCTAGAAAAATAATAATCTTCACAATACTTTAGAATACTTACTTCAGTAATAAGTCTTGTACTGTTAATAAACAGTTAAATAATAATTACTGATGTTTACTGACTGACTTCCACTTATTTGGTAAACAGACCTGGGAACAATATCCGGACGGCTGATTTATGGTTGTAACCGATGTTTGTGAGAGATTGGTTCATTTATAGAGCGTGTAATGAGGCAGTAGTGGGATAAATAAAGAGCACCTTTGTGTAGCTCTGAGATGCAAGGAGCTTCGTTAAAACAGCAGCATATGGTGTCAGGAATGATAACGAGCTCACTGATCAATACTGAAACCTCCCCTACGAAATGACAATTCTTTCGTTTGAAAATTACTCGCAAATGTATAACGCTGTGCATTAAAGATGTATACGCGCCAATTGTTTCTGACACAATACATAATTTAAGTATGTTTTATATTACCCAACCTAATGACATAATTAGATACCAATTATAAGAATTTATTAGTGATGGCCGAACTGATCTGTACCATAAATAATCAGCGCTATTCCAGTTTTAATATTAAAAGTCTGTAAGCATTTAAATTTGTGTTTAAGCATCTGTAATTTAGAAGTGTTCGGTTATAAGATTTATAATGTAGCTATTTCGTCCATACTTGAGTGGTATTAGATAAAAGAATAACAAATCTGTTTAGGTGAAATTTAAAGCTTTAATTAATGATAAACTTAATAATGAAAAAAAAAGAATCTATCAATCCAATAGAAATTTGCTATCTTAAAGGTGGTGGAAGGTGGAGATGGGGACGTTATCATGACGGAGAAAATTTGTTTTGAATTTTCTTCTGTAAAAAGTGTCATCATCAGAAATGCGTTCTGTCCCCCAAACCATGAAACTGATGAGATTCACAAATCTGTGACTTCAGTCCCAGAGGCGCTCTGTCCGTTACCTGCAGGTCATGTGATCTTTTTTTCCCCCTTTTTTTTTTTCGAGGGGCGGAGGATTCTTGGAGACTTCTTTTGGAATCAAACATATCTCATTACTCAAACCATATTTGCTTAGACTAACCAGCACTGGAAAAGATGGTAGTGGTTAGAAGCACTTGTATTTCATTTTACTTACACTGGAATCTTTGATTTCAAATATTTTTCTTTCTGGAGGACTCGGAAAGCTCTTTAGATCTTGGCACCACATGCTTTTTTATTGTAAAGAAAATATCTCTGGTTCAAAAAATACAAAAAAAAAAAAACAAACCTTTTTTGGGTGTGTGACCTTTGACTTGTTTGATCACGTTTTTCTAATAGGGGCTGCTTCAAATCAGACCGAATAATTGCTTCAAAAAAGCCAACAATTTCCATGGAATGGAATTTTTTTCCGCAGACGTGAAAAATATTTTTCTAATGTGTCCTGTTTTTATCATTCATCCAGGCTCAGAGATCATTTGTGTGTCATTACACACATTTAAGATCTTTAAGAGTATGTGAACGTCATGTGACCCTCCCCTTATAAATTGCTTAACTTTTTGAGGTTGTTGTGTATATTAAAAGGACAAAATAGCCACTACACTGATCCAATAAATATATGTTAAGGGAATAACGTTACACAAAATGCAAATACACCACAGTACAGAAAAAAATGTATGTAAATACAGTGCTTGTGTAAATGTTTCCAAGCTACTTTCCACTCGTGGAGGAGGATGGATATTGTTTTCAGGATTAAAGCGGCTCTTGCAGCCTCGGTCTTACTGGCATCCATTTCACCTCATTAGGACCCTGGGACCGAGAGTCGACAAAACACTGAGAGAAATCATTTTGCCGGGGGAGTGTGGCGGGGATAAATTGGCCTCTGGTTCAGTACAAGAGTCCCCGCTGTGCCAAGCGGAAGAGAAGGGCCTGGCTGGCAGTAGGGGCAGGCCCAGGCAAGGCAAGCTGGGAGGCCCCATGCTGAGACCCCCTCCCTGTCTCTGACAAACACGGCAGTGGATAATCTCTCCTTCAGGGACTCGGCCCAGTGCTGTGGGGCTGAGAGGGAAGGGGGCTGTTATACAGCACAGTGCAAAGGAACTGCCTCTGTATGTGTGTAGCTTGCACCACACGCGCACTTACACTTGTTTGCATTGTGTGTACTTCCACCGTGCACAGCCTATGCAGCTCTATTTTTTTCCTCATGCACACTTTGTTCGCTCTTCCTCTATCGTGCAGACATCGCTTTGACAGTTTTGATAAACAGAGCCTTTCAGAAAATATTTTCTTTTAAAAAGTACAGTTGAAGCAAAATGATCCCGAATATCCGTTGAGTACTTGAACCTGAGTAAGATCATGCAAAATTCATGCAGTCCAAAATAAATGCACAAAGTGTCAGAGGGCAATAACAAGCTGCCCATTACAGGTAGATTGTGTTGACTTGGCAGGTGTGCTTCTGAGGAGATCAACAGTTCTTACAAAGACTGTAATTTGCAGTTATTTTAGCCAAACCCTGAGTCATCTTCTATACCAACTAGAAAAATGGATTTTAGTGCATGTACAAAATAAGAGCTTCCCAAGGACAAGCCGAAACCAAAGAACCCCGGCTGAATGTTTGCTCAAGCATCACTGTTGGCCACTGGCTTTTCTTCCTCGATTAAAGGGACTGCAGTTATTACAGCCTATTGAATTTCAGCAATATTTTAATGATTACTCAAAACCAACTGGTTTCTTCAGGCTGAGGAGCTAGGACCAGTCTACAGATTGCATTACACACAAATATAAAATTAACACAAATGTAATGCAGAAATTATCTTTAACTGTCACCTAAACATTTGTAGCATAAACATTAAAGGAAAAACACTCAAAGGAACACTTTCTTCCAAACACTTTACTTCCATCAACTTCAATTATAAAAAAGGGCAACAAATTAACATCTTCTTCTTGCAGTATGTGGTCAGCCAGTAATTTTCAATTATAAATGTCCATATCCAATGTCTCCGAATACTGAAAGGCCTTGTCAGCCACTATGATGTCTCCATCTTGTAACCATGTTTTTCAAGCTCCGCTCTGCAGGGAGGAAAAGAAAAATAGAAAGATCAAGTCAGCAGAGATGATTACAGGTGGGTGGTTGAGGCATAAGTACCCTCTGCTATTGATTGTAAGAACCATTAGGAGATGAGAAGAAAAAAAATATATAAATACTGCATAATGCATGCAGCTATGGATTTGATGATTACATATATAGACATATAGCAGCTGTGGCCTTTAACAATAATGATATCTTTAAGAAACAACTTAATAGTATGGCTATTGTAATTGGCCTAAATAAAACAATAGCATATAACTGTCTAAAGGGTACTCAAATAAAAACAAAGCAGCCATTTATCTATCAGCGGATACTGATTGCTCATAGATTTGCCAACTCCATTACATTTCTACTAAACTCAACATACCTAAGGTACTTTTGCACGTTACAAATGTTGTTCGTCTGTTGTGTTTTAGAGGCGTTTACATTTTTCTACACATGTGAAATATAAACGAGCCCTGCTGTCATAAAAGGTAATCCAAGCTACTGAAATAAGTATAAGAGCTACAAAACTGATACAAATCTCAGCAGGCAAGTTCATTATTGGTTACTGCATCTTCCATGCTGCATTTAGATCAATGACTGAATTGCATGCATGGCTCCTAAAAGGCATTCTGGTGGTGTGCAAAGGCAATATGTTATATCAGGGGAAATTACTCACTATGTGCTACATATGGACAGCATATAAATAAAAATGTTAATTGTTTGATAGGAGTTTCTCTCTGCATAACCCATCAGGCTCTTCATGACCGATTACATTATATATGTGGTATTTCTAATTCATATGATGAGGATTCACAGTTACATTCATAAACAGAAATATAGTATCAGCAGTCATACATGTAGCTAAGTAATGATGTTGCCTATGTTGATATTTTTTGTTTGAAAGGGGTGGGTGGGAGGGGGGTAGGTAGGTTGTTGATTAAGTGGAAACCAGGGTAAAGTCTAAAAACTTAATTTAACTTTTGTTTCCTAAAAATTCACACCTTTCAAATTATTGTGCCAAAAGAATTCATTTTTTTCTGTTTATTTTCTGTGGATTTTGAACTTGAAGATGTTAAACTGTGGCCACTGTTTAAAATGCCTGTGGTTTAGAAACAATACTAATAGATAAACAGTGACTTGGAGCATGTTTGTAAACGATTAAACATCTGACAGAAACTCCACTAGGTTTACAAGTAACCGCTGATCGACCGCAATGCGTGTAATGTTATTCCTACAGGCACCACGGAAAAGTTTCCAGCGTCACCAGGGGGGCAGATTTCACCAGCTGTCCGATTCCCTGATTTTTCTTGACAGCCAAGAGATTTACTGGACGAGGTTTTGGGCCAAAGTAGTGCACTGTTTATTTGCAGTTTATGCATCAGAAATTGCTCAATGATCTACATTTTTCTGACACAGTTTTGAGAAATATTTGCAGAAAGAGAAGTTAAGATAACAAACACGGGAAATATTAGCAAGTCCTATTGTTTTTAATCAGGTATTGCTTGGCTATTTGCACACAGCCGGCTTGCCAAACATGTGAGATCGATATAAACCAGGTGAATGGTGTTTAACATAAAGGTGTGGTTTGAAATGAACTAGCTTTTAATTTAGGCAGGCATTTGAAGCAAAATCAAAAAAAGGTGCACAACAGCAGTTACAAAAACGCACCCCTGCTTTTAGAGCAACAGAAATTCAAATGTTAACACGTCAATGACCTACAAACGCAGAGCAGATGACTGAATTATTAAATATGAAACATCTGTGGATCAAATGTGGGTTTGTTCCATTTAAAATAAATAAAAAGACTGTGTCCCACATGTGCTAAAACAGAAAAATGATTTTCATTCAAAAACGGAGTGTATTTTTGTTGCTTCACCCTAAACTCGATCAAATAAATGTAAGCATAAAGATGGAGATATAGTATGACATTAAGGCAAGAAAGTAGACAGTAAGGACTTCATAAACTGTCACAGAAAGTCAAAGAGATATGCAAAAAAATTCTGATTATGCAAAACGTCTTTGTTTGTCATCGGACAGTTTTTCATTAGCTTTTAAGTGATTTGTGAGATTTTTAAAAAAAGTTTTATTTAATGAACAATTTCTGACTGATCAGATTACCTCAGCTGATTTGAGAAATCATCTTCTACGTTATCATCGTCCCAGTTGTCTTCCCAAACATGAGCGTCTTCGTCTTCATCCAGCCCTGTCCAGTCTGGGAAACATTATTACAGCTGTAAGCTTGCAATAAAACCTTAATATATAAGTATTTGCTCACCAGTTCTGAACACTTTAGCTTGTTGGTTTAGCTACATTGGCTGTGTAAGACAATTACTTTTAAGTATACATAATATTTAAACAGCTAAGCGCAGTCAGTAAGTAAATTTTAGTGGTGAATTAAACTACTGGGAGCTCGGTGAAGTGGTGTGTTTGGTTAAATCGGAACAATTGTGGCGTTTTTCTTCAAGCTAGCTCGCCAGCTAATGCTAAAGCTAATAGGCTAGGCTAGCTGAGTCACTGCAGCAGGACACAGCAAAGAAAAACGTAACGGACTCCAACAGATAATGAAGAGGGAAACAAGAACAACAACACCTCAGATAACATGTGAACTACTCACCCTCGGCTGGGAATTCTTCAAACTCATCATCCTCCTCCAGCAAGCCCAGATCTACGGTCTGCTTCTTGTCTGACATGTTAGCTCCGTCGGTGTGTTGCTGTTTGTTAATGAAGCCTCTTCACGCAGGAATTGTGGGAAGTTAAAGTTGATCGAGCCGGTTGCGGCTGCGCGAAGTGCACGCATGGATGGCATGATGACTGCACAGGGGAGCGCAGGAGGAACTGTGAGCCACAGCAAAGCGAGGTAAGGCAGGTTTACTCAAGAAACACTCGATGTAATTAAATTCAGTGTGATTTACAAACGCACACACAGGCAGTTAAGAACCAGCTCTCTGCCCTCAAATAGAAAGCAAAGACCAGTGCAGTAAGACACACAGAAACAGGTAGATATATCCGATGACATTTTTCTAACAGGTTTAATTAAAGTAGTGAGTAACCTGTTTAAGATAAATAAACGAAGTATTTTAAGGAAAATCCTTAATTTCAAGTTTGAACGCTTTTTGTTTTGTCTTCTTATCACACTGAGAGTAAATATATTTTTCAAATTTGATTTTTACCATTACCAGTACCGATCCAGTATTACAGGTACAGCTTCATCAGCTCTGCTAACATGTTTGCTGTGCAGAAAAAAATGTCCAAAATAAGTTTTGGTGTAAAGAATATTTATTTCACATTGTTATCCATTTCAGTCACAGTGACACTTTATTCCCTGCAAAGTGGTTCATGTGTTGGGGAATATTGCTTATGTATTTAGGATGCTCATCCATCCATTCATTTCCCTCCTCCTATCAGGGTACTGGCTCTACTTCTGAGTATTGTTATTATGTTTTTTTAATTATTATTAATGGCCTGTTATTTTTTTCAGACAGTACATTTTACTTAAAGGTGTGAGGAGCATGTTCTCTGCACGTGTCTCCTGGCTTGTAGAAGGTGTGTTTTATTATGACTCTTGTATTACTGCTTTCTTTACTCTTTAAAATTCATTTATTATTAATTTATTTATTATAAGCCAGTGTACTCCTAGCACTCAACCCAAACCCTAATGAATGGAATGAGCTGTGTGAAGATGGGTATCCAACATAAAATGTTTTCAAAAACACCAAGGATGAGATTTGCCTTGGGACTGAGCAGCGTGGACAGGATTAGAAATGAATACATCAGAAAGAGACATGTGCAGAGGAGGGATAGTGGATATACTGGACAAAGAGTGTTGAATATAGCTGCCAGACAGGAGGAAAACCCCAGAGATGATCCATGGACGTGGTGAAGGAAGAGATACAGAGGGTTGGTGAGACAGAGGAGGATGTCAGAGATAGAGATGGAACTGGGTGATCCGCTGTGGCAACCCTAAAAGGAACAGCTGGAAGAAAAAAAAAAAAGAGGTTTTGTTATGCTGTTTATGTTTCAGCATATTTCACAATATAAAAACATTTTAAAGCATAATGCAGAAAGCAGAATGCTCGAGGTAACTCTGAAATGGCTTCACTTTTTTTTTTTCAGTATAACTCTTTACATTTGCTTTATATCTGTATTTTCCATCCCCCCAAATATCAGCGATACCATTAGTCCCAAAAATCAAATATTTTAGAAATCTTGTTTTTCCTCTTTCTTGAATTCCTCCCAGCATGTTTCCCTCTCTCCCAGAAACACATTTCGCTTTCAGGCCACCACAAAAGCCCTCTTTCCTCAAAACATATGCACTCAAGTCACTCAAATGTTGTCAAAGATTTTTCATTTGGGAACAAATGCACATTGTAACCCATGCGGCCCGCTCAAATAATGATGCAGCAGCCACAGCTTAGGATGTATTTTAGATAAATGAGAGCGCACATTTACCACAAAACCACTTGTACCACAATGAAAATTGCTCTCCAGCTGTCATATGTTGACAGATGGAACAAACCTCAACTTAAGCTCTGCGCACTTATTCTATTTTCAAATTATTTTGTAATCATCCTAAGCCTTTACACATGACAATGCCACAACACTCAGAGGAAAGAGGAATAAGACACTGGCAAGTGTAGGAAGCTAATGCTGTTTGTTTAAATAGTTTCCCACCACTTAGTAGTAAAAATGCATTCATAAAAAACAAGTTGTAGGTGCTGAAAAACAAAACATCAAGCCCGCACACACGACGAGAACAAGGTCAGTAACATTTAACCACTACTGTCACGTGAAATAATGAACAGGACTTTCTTATTTATCCTTGTAGGGCTGGAACACGTTTTTTTTTTTTAATTTTTATTACCAATCAGTTAAAAGTTGTTAAAACATCCATCCATCTATCCGTTTTCTGCTGCTTATCTGAGTGTTGGTTGTGAGGGAAAAGAGACACCCAGATCTCCGTCTCCCCAGCCAAGTCTTCCAGGGGGACACCAAGTCTTACCCAAGCCAACCAAGAGACTCTCTCCAGTGTGTCCTAGTTCTATCTCGAGGCCTCCTCCCTGTTGAACATCTTCAAAATGCCTTACCTCTGAGACATCTTTGTCGCATGTCTGAAGCAAACCCATGCCAGGGATTTGTATGCCCTAGAGATCCCAGGAACTATATTATCAGGCGGAACTTGTCCCTGGCAGAGTCTTCTAATGTAAGTAAGGTAATTCCTCAGTTAAGTGCCAGACCAAGAGTGATTCAGAAGATCTCTGTGGACTGAAAATGTATGGAGCATGTTGCCTTGCCCAGACTGGGATTGAACCTTGTCCAGGGGAGTGTTTGTCAGGCAGTGTCTGGTGGCCTGGCTTTAGCTCATGGGATTGGGTCGAGCTCAGGCCTGAGGACTAACGAGGTCTGGGGCAGGGTATGGGTCTGGCGCTGCTCAGTCAAAGCCTTTGACTTTGGCAGACCGATCCTTGGTTGCTGAAACCGGTTCTTGTTCAAATTTGCTGCACAGAAAATTACCTGTTTGGAAATTCCTGAGCCCAAAGCCCAATTTACAAGCATGTAAGAAAAAAGAAAAGCTGCCAATCATCATATTTGAACTAACAGATCTTGACATTTGTGCTAGAAGTAATAAATTCCTAAATTATAAAAACAGCTGCAAGAAACCTGTTCCACGATAGAATCTGAGTAATATTTCTACCAAAAGTTTGTGTCCCTATGCTTATTTTAAATACCTAGCAGATTGATGGATCAAATTTACTTCAGCTACAATCAGCGAATGAAGACACAGGTTCATTCACCTTTCAGTTATAGAGCACTCTGAGCTGCTCTCCCTGAGGTATAGCGGATTCTGGCTCCCGTGTCACTCAATCTCAGGTGCAGGTGAAGTCCTGGGAAGTGGCCACAGCGTCCGCCCAGCATACCTGAGACTGCAGTTACAGCGAGCCTGGCGCCTAAAGTCTCTGTGTTCAGGAAAAATGGGAGGAGGTGGGGTTGTGGGGGGTCATAGAAGGGAGACACAGCGTGGCCTCCCCAGACAGACTCCACCACGACTTGTGTCTGAGTAGCAGCATCACATTTCTGTCCTTTCACAAAGCCCTCTGGGAAAGGACAGGTCGGCAGCCGCTATAAGCACACTGAAAGAGACAGAGCAGACAGAGGAAGACTCCAGCTGAAGCCTGCCCTTCTAGTCTGACATTCTGCTCCCTCCCTTCACCAGTGCTCCCTGATTCTTTATTACAGGCTTGGCTTATGATATGGCCTTTAGGCACTGCACAGTGAAAGGTGTGTGGATGGAAACAGATGGAGATTTACAAGAAAAGAGCAATATGCATGTTACCAAATAATCCAGATCACCTCCTGAAGATAACATGCATGATCTATTTTTCGAGCATGTCAAAAAAAGTGACAGAACTTTCTTTGACATGCTGGCTGACGGCTGTGGAGATAACCAGCTGGTGGTACTTGCTTTACCTGTGGATACTTTGTCTAGAGCACTTTTACTTGCAATTATACTTCATATTGTGACTTTTCCTTACCTTAAAGTGGAGACTTCCTGCAGTGCCACTCAAAACCGAGTGAGTACATATCTTAGAAACTGAAGCTGTCTTTGAGTTTGCGGATATGTGGAGCATTAGTGCAAATATTATCTTAAAGAAATACCGTGAGACATGCAAGGAGGTGATCATCATGGATTAAAGAGACTTAACCAACCAATTAATCAGGCAAATCCCCCCAAAACCTATCAATTCAAAAAGAAAAAAGAAAAAAAAATGTGAGCGTTGCTCTGAGGAAATCTCCACAGAAAGCAATATGCTTCCAGGATATGTCTGTCAAGATCCTGTATTAAATTTAATCCCAGCCAGTAAGTAAGTCTACTCCATTGTGCGTTGTGTGGAAACCCCATCTCTCTGTTCATATAAATACTTACACCAAGTAGAGAGCAGTGAAAATTCATCATTTCATGCATAAACTTGGTAATAAAACCAATTAAACGCTCACAGGTGTCAAATATGGATAAAAGTGAAAAACAAAGGACCTTTTTTTAATGTGAGATTTGTTTTACGAACCCATTTTCTGGCGGGCTCACTCAGTGAGATGTCTGTCATTGCGAATTTAAGTTTCATATTTTCCCCCCTGTCTGTCTTGAAAAGCTCTGTCATCTTGGGCTTGAGGTACAGTTTGCCAAGAGGCTAATGGCCCTTTATGACAGTACAATCTGATGCCTGTCCCGGCTAGCCTCCAGGTAATCCTGTCCACCTCGGCGGCTAAGCCCTGCTCAGGCTTAAGTTGCATATTTTGTTTTTATCAGGACACTGCTGATAAATGCTATCAGCGAGGGAGAAATGAAATATGGGGGGTCTAGCTCCATTTTGCCCGAGCCCCTCGAGTTGAAGAACAATGACATCTCTATAGGTGAATCTGGACTGTCTGTAGGACTAAACAGCACCAAAACAACTGCCATAACTTCACGTTCTGTGTCCTAGTTTTGCCAACACGGATGTGGTGCAAATTCCACTCTGACGCTTCTTTTTTTGCAAACAATTTTAGATTTTAAATTCCTTTGCATAAATGCATGATAATCCCGCCACTCAAAAACACTTTCAATTACAGCAGCTTTACTTTTGGACCCCCAAAATATCATTTAATAAAATCATAAAATTACATGCTAATTTATTTCCAGTAATGTGCGCTAATAGTGTACTACCTCTGTGTCCGTGGTCCAACGCCGTGGACCTATACTGTATGTGAAAAGCACTCAGACACTCTTACCAT